TAAAATTTATGACCTGTACACTTATTCGTCTACAAAACACCAATGAGAGTTAAGGATGTACACCTCTGAGGAGCTAAAAATTTCCAGAATTAAACTTTTTTTCTTAACCTGATTTTTGGGTTGATATGACTGTAAGAAAGTAACTGATGAAGAAAAAATTATATGGTGGTGCACTTCATTTTTTTGCTACGGCCATTTGAAAGTACTCCATTTTTAATGATTTTCTCATTTTTCATCAATTTTTACCCATTTTTGAGCTATTATCATGAAAAAAATTCGTAAGGGTTCCGCGGAACCCAGTGTCTCGCCTACTTTTTCTGTTAATCGCAGGCTCAACAAAAATGAGGAAGTAAATCAATAAAAATATTCCTCTTGATACTATCTTTTGATTGTAAGAAGCTTCTGTCCAAGTTTGGTAAAAATCCAGGATAGTTTATGAATCTAATAAATGTTTAAAAACTTTAACTGCAGACTGAATGTAATGTTAACTGGAAGAAAAAAAAATTTCCTTCTAGATACTAGCATTTGACCATAAACAAGCTTCTGTCCAAGTTTGGTACAAATCCAAAATAGTATAAGAAAGTTATTAAAATTTTAAAAACTTTAACCACAGAGTGAATGTGTTGTTTCCTGGCAGAAAATCTAAGTCCATTTAAAAGTAAAATACTGAAAAAACGGATTTATTTTTTTTACAAAATTTCCTTCTAGATACTAGCTTTTGATCATAAACAAGCTTCTGTCCAAGTTTGGTACAAATCCAAAATAGTATAAGAAAGTTATTAAAATTTTAAAAACTTTAACCACAGAGTGAATGTGTTGTTTCCTGGCAGAAAATCTAAGTCCATTTAAAAGTAAAATAAGGAAAAAATGGATTTTTTTTTTTACAAAATTTACTTCTAAATACTATCTTATGATCATAAACAAGCTTCTGTCCAAGTTTGGTAGAAACCCAGGATAGTTTAAGAAAGTTATTAAAATTTTAAAAACTTTAACCACAGAGTGAATGTAATATTTCCCGGCAGAAAAACTAAGTCCATTTATAAGTAAAATACGGAAAAAATGGAATTTTATTTTTACAAAATTTACTTCTGGATACTATCTTATGATCATAAACAAGCTTCTGTCCAAGTTTGGTAGAAATCCAGGATAGTTTAAGAAAGTTATTAAAATTTCAAAAACTTTAACCACAGAGTGAATATTTGTGGACGCCGCCGACGACGACGACGCCGACGGAATGTAGGATCGCTATGTCTCGCTTTTTCGACTAAAGTCGAAGGCTCGACAAAAATCACAATTTCACAATTAAACTTTTTTTCATACTTTCACTAAAGATGAAGTGGACCAATCTGAATAAATTTAACTAAAATAAACTATAGGTTGGTGATAATATTAGAAAGTTGTATTAAATTTTGTTGCTTTTTCATGTCAAATTGACCATGCTGTCAATTTTGTAAATTTGGGATTTTTCTCTCTTTTTTTTAGAACAAAAAGCATATTATTTCAACTTCTTTGTTATATATGATTGAAAAAATACATATCTAAGAATTTTTAAAAGAAAAAATAATAAAATAATGGGATGTACATATTTTTGGTAAAATCATTTCTTTGTACCCTCACCTATTTTCTCAACATTTTGGCTTATGACACTGAACAGATTGGTTATAAAATTTGAAAATTTTATTACTCAAACACTACTTTAAATATTGTAAGTACACAGTTTTTTCACAGAGTTTAGTTTGATTATAATATTTTTTATATTCATTGATATTTTCCACTTGCATCACATTTTTTTAAATTAATTCCTGAACGAGATTTCAACCAGACTGAAACCTCAGAAGAATACATCCTTAATAGATATACTTTATTTCTTCAATTCATTGTTTAAATTTATAATACAAGTACAGACCACCAGAAGCAACCGAAAAGTTGATAGAACATACATTGTAATGTGTAAAATGAAGATTCATTGCCGAGTGAACTTGGTCGTAAAAATTGAAAATCTTTCATCCAATCTGCTTGAAATTTGCAGTTATATTTCTTCTTTTTTACACTGTCGCATGGTCGAGACAAAGAAATCTATCTTGTTGGAGTTGACATAGAAGAAATGGATTTTCGATTACTTATAAATCGTACATAAAAACTACTGACCAAAGTTTTCAAATGATTGCTGATTGTTCATTTCTATTGAAAGTAATGAAAGATCCCGAGAAATACGATTGCGGGTCATTCCAGGTTAAAATATCCGAATGCAGGAGATTCTATACTCCCATGCGGCAGCGGACTGGCAAGCAGGAGATTTCCGGAATTTCGTCATTTGAGTGGGAAACTCCCGTACAAAACAGGTGGGTTGGCAGGTATGATAGCGGTACCTCGAATGACCAAATAACACCGTTATTATCCAAATAACACTTGTAATGACCGAATAACACTTGAAATTTTAATATTAGCACATATTGGTGACATTTGAACATTGATTATTAAATAATAATATATTATAAGTGTATTTTATAACTTAAAAATGATTTACAGAAAGCAGGTAAGTTCATAAAGATCATTATAAATATTAGTGTGTACATCCAACATGGCAACCAAGGAAAACACAATGGGAAGAATTAAAGAATGATTGCATATGCATTCAAAGGGAAATGCTATGAAAATAAAGTATTAAATAATGTACTGTATATACAGAGTATTGTCCAATAATTGTTTTTCAGTAAGGTTTTGAAAAGTTAACAAGTACATCAAAGCCATGCAATTACTCCAATCACCTATTAGTTTTCTTAAGGATTTACTCAATATTGAATGAAACGTAATTAAGAATTTTCACATATTTAATTTAAATTTAATAAAAAAATTGATTATACTTGATTGATTTATAATAAAAACAAAGCAACTGAATGGATGATTCATATGTGTGTTGTAATAACATTTTCTCCAAAAAACATTCAAGATTTTCATTGACAAATAAAAATGTTTTTACAAGTAACTAAAATTTGGTATAAAAACATATGTGCTGTCTTCCATTTTTAAAATGGCTTTATATCCTTGTGTTCAATGTGATGAAGAATGTGTTGATTGCACAATTCAGTGCAGTAGTTGTGATCCTTGGGTTCACAGTGCTTGTGTCCCAATGAATGATTCAATGTTATCGGCCTGGTCAGATGTGTCTCTAAAGTTCCTATGTAAGGACTGCTGCTTTACAGACAACAAGTACGACATGGCCAAGGCCCTAGAAAGGTAAGTAATTTTATAAAGTATATTTTTAACATAATATTTATTAGAAGGTATATGAATATATATAAAGAACAAATGTGATATTGTACATATTTAATTTTAAAGAAGACATTAATTTCACTAATTCGATTATATTTAACTTATTTCTTATTTCATTTTCCTTGGCAATATATATTCAATTTACTAAATTTACTCTCAAAATTCAGAAATAAAAGTAAAGGGAAAAAAAATTAATATTCTTAGTATTGACGTTTAATTTTTTTTTTTATTGCTATGTTCATCCACTTTAATACATTAAATAAGTTTAATAATGAAATATTTATAGACTGGATACATAATGCATGTATAGCATTGTTGCGCATGTTTTCAGGTACAACTGGAAGAAAATATTTTTTACAATAAATTCTATATAAAGTGTTATCGCGGACTACGACAGATAAGCCCGTGCCTTGTGCAGGATATCTTAGTAGTTTTAATTTTTTACAATAAATTCTAAATAAATTGTTTTCGCAGACTATGACAGATAAGCCCATGCCTTGTGCAGGATATCTTAGTAGTTTTAATTTTTTACAATAAATTCTAAATAAATTGTTTTCGCGGACTATGACAGATAAGCCCCGTGCCTTGTGCAGGATATCTTAGTAGTTTTAATATTTTGTTAAATAAATCCCAAATAAATTGTTTTCACGGACTACAACAGGTAAGCCTGTGCCTTGTGCAGGATATCTTAGTAGTTTTAAAAGGGCTTGGTTACTCTCCATTTTAAATTAAAAAAAAAAATATAATACACAGATATTTTATTTAAAAGTAGAAATTTTTAATTATAATATTATTTTTTTTAATAACTATAAATAAAAAAATAATTATTTTAAACAGTTAACTATTCCATATTTTCTTTAAAAGGGGAGGTGCCCACCCTCACATTGTTCATTGCCTTGACGTGGCGTGAGGGCTCCACTTTGGTGGTCTAAAATGAACACGTTGAGGGATCGTATGCAATCATTCTTTTATTCTCCCCATTGTGATTTCCTTGGTCGCCATGTTGGATGTACACACTAAGATTTATAATGATCTTTATGAACTTACCTGCTTTCTGTAAATCATTTTTAAGTTATAAAATACACTAATAATATATTATTATTTAATAATAAATGTTTAAATGTCACCAATATGTGCTAATATTTAAATTTCAAGTGTTATTTGGTCATTTCAAGTGTTATTTGGATAATAACGGTGTTATTCGGTCATTCGAGTTACCCGTATGATAGTACAAATTCATATGACTTCGAAAACATATGATCTGACCATATATGAAAGAAAATAACAACTATAATGTATATTATAAGTAAAAATAAAATATTGGGTACGCGTTGGTTAAAATAGGAGTTGGTGAAGGTACTAGTTGACATGTATCCGTTTGACCAACTATTCCTGATATTCAAACTTCATCAACCTGGATGGAATATTTTATATAGGGGATTGACATGCATAGGATCTGACAATGGATATAACTATAATCTGCTAGTCCTTGTTATCATGATGTCTTGGATATTCTTTCTAAAAAAATCAATGGACGCCCTTCCTACGACTGGAAGTCGTCTATGCAAGAAATCTAAATAGCATCCCAAGACGTCATAAAATATAATTTTGGACTAATTATTCTAATAATCATGATAATCTACATCTTTAGTTAAAGTAATTTGTGACAACTCATTTTCAAATATATATCTGAGCAATCCCGTGCAAAAACAATGTGTAGTACAAACTTTTTTGTTTTGAATTAATTTTCTTCGTTAAATTTGTTTATATCTCCGATTTTTCTTGCAAAATTTCCTTGTCCAATGGCGCTGATTTATTGTGCATCAAATTTCATGACGTAGTCAATTAATGTGGAGTTTGATAAATAGAAAAAAAGGTATGTGTTCCCGCACAAGGGCTGGATTTAAAAAAAATATAAAATATGATTGGTCTGAATGTAGGGAAAAAAATGAAAAGTCACAGAAAACTAGAAAAGGGTACATAAAATGCGCCTAAAGGGAGTCCTTTTAACTAATTCCCTGACTTAGACTACTTTGTAGTAAATTTTAAGTGTAAATTAAGGCGGATGGAGTGTGCGCATGCGCCGAATGAATTATAGTTATCTCGTACCATTGTAAACTCGTACCAATGTCAACTCGTACCACTAAAAAAAAACTCGTACCAATGCAAACTCGTACCACTGCTAACTCGTACCACGGTAAATTCATACCATTGTAAACTCGTACCAACTTATTTAAATGCATTCAAATGGTGTTTAATGATGAATATATACTTTAATTTCCCTCAATACCTCGTAAATCTGTAAAGTGTATATAATTTGAAATTACAATGACCAATTTGTAGCTAATTTTCCTTGTCTTATTGGATAGAGAAAACCGTGGCAGATTGGCTTTGTTGTCTCCCTTGAGTAGACTCTTTTTTAAACTTTTACTGACAACTATTTGATTTAATTTTTAATCATTCCAAATCAGTATCATTGAATAGATTTGTGTATTTTTCTTTTGTTTCTAAAAGGAATTTTTATTTAACGAAAGAATTTATTTATTGTGTTTTAAATAAACTCATCATAGATACCAGGATTAAATTTTGTATTTACGCCAGACGCGCGTTTCGTCTACAAAAGACTCATCAGTGACGCTCGAATCCAAACAAGTTAAAAAAGCCAAATAAAGCACGAAGTTGAAGAGCATTAAGGACCAAAATTCCTAACTTGAAGTTTTGCCAAATACAGCTAAGGTGATTCTATTCCTGAGCTAGAAAAGCCTTAGTATTTCAAAATTGCAAAAGTTTTGTAAACAGTTAATTTATAAATATGACCATATCAATGATAATTCATGTCAGCACAGAAGTGCTGACTACTGGGCTGGTGATACCAAAACAAAATCATAAAACATTCGTATTTTTTAATATATTTTTAATGGTACGAGTTTGCAGTGGTACGAGTTCTGATTGGTACGACTTCCCAGTGGTACGAGTTTACGTTGGTACGAGTTAACTTTTTTGGTACGAGTTTACTTGGTACGAGTTTACAATGGTACGAGTTAACTTGCTTCCCGCCGAATTCGGACGTATCCTTTTTCATCTCCAAGAAAAGTCTTACTAAAGTTATTTGTATCCTTTGTAAAATTTATTTAAATCAATGTAAGTTGGGTAAAGGTGTTCCATTATCTATTACATTCATTGCAACATAAAAGTTAGGACCAACCAACATCAATCAACAACGAAATCCTGAGTTAGAAAGCGGTTACCTATGTAAACAAAGAACAAAATGGCAGCAAATACGAAATAGAAATCTGACAGCTCGACAGTCAAGTGGAAGTTAAGAAAGGTGTGTAGGTGAGTTCATCTTATCACCACCTTCTAAGGCTTCTTACACAGCCCAAAGATGTCACAACTAATTATATTTCTATTTTTATTGTCATTTGGATACCAACTATGTCTAGCCAAAATAACAGACCAACAAAATATTTTGACAAAATCAAAACAAGGGGAGCATATGTTTACCATTATTAACAACTACAACCCAGAGTATATAAACCATTTTACCATCATTGACAACATTAGAACTGAAATACTTAGTATGAATGAGAGAAGATTAATATATCGTAAAATGATAAACCATCTCACCTATCTTTCAATGATACTAATTCTTATATCAAACGATGTAAATCTTAACCCTGGACCTGAATGTTCAAACACCAGTGGAACTGTATATCCATGTGGCACATGCGACCAACCAGTTACATGGCAAGAACGAGGTATAGTATGCGATACATGCAACCAATGGTACCACATCAGTTGCCAGGCTATGCAAACTAAGTCCTACCTAGAACATGTGAATGACTCCGCCATTGCATGGGATTGCATTATGTGTAATTGTCCAAATTACTCCACCTTCTGCTATTCTTTGGTATTCAGCACTTCAAATCATTTCAGCATACTGTCAAATATATCCATCAGCAGTCCAACATCTAGCATCATAAAACCATTACATACTTCAACACCAGAACGGAAAACACAAAAGAAAAAGGAGCAAGAAGATTCAAATCCTAAGACTATTCGAGTATTAAATGTCAACTTCCAGTCAATAAGAAACAAACAAGGCGAACTTATAAATCTTATTGAAAGCACAAAACCAGATATAATTTTTGGAACTGAAACCTGGCTTGATTCATCAATAAAAGACTCGCAATATTTTCCAGATGGGTACAATATTTACAGAAATGACAGAAACTTAAGTGGAGGGGGAGTACTCATTGCCGTCAAAGACACATACATCACTTCATCAGTACCAGAACTTCAAACTGATTGTGAAATTGCTTGGTGCAAGATGGAAATTGTCGGGCATAAAACTGTCTATCTATCTAGTTACTACAACCCCAAAACATCAAACGAAAAGGGATATAATGAATATGGAATAAGCATTGAAAGAGCCAGTAAAATACGAAATGCATTCATTATATCAGCTGGTGATTTCAACCTACCAGGCTGGGATTGGACTAACAAAGAGATCAAGATGCACACCCAATGTGCAACAAATCATGAAAAAAAATTGCTGATATATTGGATGATAATGGGATGGCACAGCTTGTAAATAAACCAACCAGAGGACCCAATACTCTTGATCTTGTTGTAACAAATCATCCTGAAAGCTTCATGAGAGTTGAAACCTTACCTGGGCTCTCCGACCATGAAATCGTTTTCACAGAAGTTAATCTAAACCCCCGGAAATCTATTCAAAAACCAAGGATTATACCGTTATATAGAAAAGCAAATTGGGAGAATATGAAAATAGATATGAATAACTTACACCATGATATCACCCTAATGAATGAACAAAAGGCAGGAGTAAATACATTATGGACACACTTCCAAACCAAACTTGAAGAGAGCATAGAAAAAAATGTACCGAAAAAGACCGCTAGGAAAAAGGATGGTAGTCCCTGGATCACATCTGACATCAAGCGTCTCATACGAAAAAGAGACAGATGGTTCAAAAGAATGAAAAAATCGGGTAATGGAGGAGATAGAGACAAATTTAAAGAACTTAAGCGTCGTACACAGAGAGAAATTAGGAAAGCTTACTGGAATTACATCGACAGTATAGTTTCACCACCAGACCTAATTAAACCTCAAGAAAGACCAAACTGTATGAAAAGGTTCTGGACCTTTATAAAACACAAAAGGTCAGATGGGAGTAAAATACCACCTCTAAAATCAAATGGAACTTTACATTCAGAGCCAACAGAAAAAGCAGACATACTCAATGGCCAATTTCAGAAAGCCTTTTCAGACAAAACCACCATAACAGAAAAAGAATTTCAAGAACAGTGTAACATGTCCGGAAACTTTGAACAAATCTTGGACATCAATATAACAGAAAATGGTGTGTACAAACTACTAAATAACCTTAATCCAAATAAGGCAGCTGGGCCAGACAATATAACACCAAGAGTCTTAAAGGAACTTGCATTACATATAGCACCAATACTGACAACATTATTCCGCTGCTCATATCAGACAAGCGAAGTACCTTGTATTTGGAAATCTGCAAACGTCTGTCCAGTGTATAAGAAAGGGAAGAAATACGATCCGATAAATTATAGGCCTGTCTCTCTCACTTGCATAGCATGTAAACTAATGGAGCACATCATAACTAGCCATATCATGTCTCATGCAGATACTCACAACATCATGTATCCACTTCAACATGGGTTTCAAAGGGGATTATCATGCGAATCACAACTGATTGAATTTATTGATGATGTAACTAAAAACTTAGATCAGGGGAAACAAACAGATTGTCTCATAATGGACTTCTCCAAGGCATTTGATAAGGTTAGTCATAGCCTTCTCATCCACAAACTGAAGCATTATGGGATAACCGGTAAAACAAATGAGTGGATAAACAACTTCCCCAGTGATAGAATACAGTCAGTAGTTGTAGAGGGTGAAACATCGACCTCCATACCTGTAGAGTCCGGCGTACCACAAGGATCCGTCCTGGGACCTAGCCTATTTTTGTTTTATATAAACGATATGCCCCAGGGGATTCAATCAACTGTACGACTGTTTGCCGATGACACTATTGCTTATCTCACCATCTCATCCAATGCAGATGCCGCAAACTTACAAAAGGACCTTGACCAACTGGCTGTATGGGAAACAACATGGCTTATGAAGTTCCATCCAGACAAATGTAATGTACTCACCATCTCCAAGAAGCGAACTCCATCAAAGTACAATTACACACTACATGGCCATAACCTCGAACATGTAACATCAGCTAAATACCTGGGATGCACCATTTCATCAGATCTTAAATGGGGGAAACACATAAGCTCCATCTGCTCCAAAGCCAACAACACCATTAGCTTCTTAAAAAGGAATGTTAACATCTCAAACAAGTCAATTAAAGAAAAAGCATACATGTCCCTCGTCAGGCCTACTTTAGAATATGCTAGTGCAGTATGGGATCCATACCAACAAAACGACATCCACAGATTGGACATGGTGCAAAGACGGGCAGCAAGGTATGTTACTAACAGATATCACAACACCTCATCTGTTAGTAGCATGCTTGAACATCTTGAATGGTCTACCCTACAAGAACGAAGGAAACATAGCCGCTTAATAATGATGTATAAGCTACAAAACAACTTTGTCAAAATCGATACATCCAGTAAGCTAATACCGAATGAACGCCCTTCCAGAAATAATAACGAAAAGGCACTTAGAATACCATCGTGTAAAACAACTGTACGGAAGGAGTCGTTCTATCCCAGAACAATCAGAGAGTGGAACACCTTGCCCAACTCTACTGTCTCCGCC